CACACTGAGTCTACTCCTTCAGTGTATCATTTGTGGAGGTGGTTGGGTGATGGTACTTTGATGTGGTATGAAGCTGTCTCCTGAGTGAGTTGGCTCTGGGGCCTCCTGAGAGGTGCATAGCAAGGTCAGCCACCACCTGTATTCTGTCCAGGCCACTTTGCATAAGCTACAAAGTGATCTGCAGATGGCTGCCTCTTGTGCTTGGCTTGAAGGTGCCCAGGCAAGGCCAAGCTGTGAATGAAGGCGGGTTGCTGCTAGTGCCAGGTCTGGGGCCACTTAACAGAGGTATGGTGCTCACTGAAGCCAGATGCTGCTTGTTTAAGAGATTTTAGGAAAATTTAAAGCATGAGCCAAGATAAGGCATTCATATGGAAAAGCCACTGGAATCAGCTTGGTTGGGTTCAAAAGTTGGGTGGAGTGGGGTCTCAGGGAATCACCACGGTGGGACTAACAGTGTGAGCCGGGTTGATGGAAACCCATACATGGCACCCATCTGGTGGCTCTGTGGGGGAAGAGCTCATTAAAGCAATGGTGGCCTCTGCCAGCATTTTTGTCTGGGAGAAAGCTGACCCTGATGCCAGACAATTCAGTTTTTCCCCATATGTCTGTAGTGCCTTTCAAGTTGCTGCCTCTGCACTGGAGCTCAGAGGGAGTGAGTCTGAGTAAGTCTGTTTGTGGACTCTTTAAGAGGAATCACCTCGCTTTTACTAGCAGCCTCAGTCTTCCTTAGTCTCAATCTCCACTCAGGGATGTGTTAGGTAGATTTGCTATGCCTCATTATCTTGGTAGGGTGACCATACATTGTATGTGTTCTGTGGGACCTCATGGCACAATCTGCTTCATCACTTGTGCTGGGTATTCCAAAAATGACCCTTGTGTGGCTTATTTGGGCCCTCTGTTTTAATTGAGTCTTGATTGCTCTTGGCCCATTCCTGTGGGGGGGTCAACCTTCAGGCTTGACGACAGTGAAAATCAATCCTGACTAAAGTGTATGAGCTGCTGTGCAGGTACTGACCACTCAGAGCGGAATTTGCCTCAGCAGGGTCTGGTGCCTGCTGAGATTTCTCTTTGGATATGCTGCTTGTGAAGCTAATTGGATCCGGCTCTGATGTTACCTGAAGCTATCCACTGGGTGTGCTGATTTTGGGGCCTTTTGGGAGTGTCTGTGGTGCAGGTCAATGTCAGACACTGCCTGTGATTGGCCCTGGGCAACTTGTTTGGAGCTACAAAGTGATCCAGTTTGTGGTGGCCTCTTCTGGGCCTGCCTGGCTGTATGAAGGAAGGATCAAGCTGTGCATCAAGGCTCGCTTTTACTAGCACTGGACCTGGAGGCAGATCAGCAAAAGTCCCTAGGAACCCCGAGGTCTGCTTTCACCTGCTTCTGCCTGCTGGCTGCCTGTTAGACTCAATCACTGAAAGAGCCTCTAGTGGTACTCATGTTGCATATACTAGGTTCTCAGTGAGTCACAAGGTAGGGGCGAGAGGTAGCCTCCATATATATATATATATATATACATACATACATATACATATACACACACACACACACACACACACGAGTTCAATCTTGGTGCCAGTGCTGGGTCTAAGGCCACTCAACAAATGTCCCAGGGTATACACCAAGTCTAGCTCCCACCCACTGGCTGCTTGCACACCTTTGTGGTATGGCAGGGTCTCGGTCATCAGGATGAAGCCAGCAGAATTTATCAGGCCTAAAGAGACCAAGATTCGGCTGTGTGACAGCTCTGCACCGATTAGGTGTGTGACAGAAAAATTTCTGTCCTAGAGTCATGCAACTCAGTCTGTCCCAGATTCTGTCAGGAGCCCAATCTCAGCAGGGAGGGGCCACTGGGAGTCAAGAGAGTGGGAGATGCCTGTCAGGTTTGGGGCAAACTAGGGGGTGTGGCCCCTTATCCAGAGTTGCATAACTCAGTCTGCCCCAGATTCTGCCCAGACCTTGGCAGAGTGGAACCACCAAGAGTCATGAGGGTGGGGCCTCTGGTAGATGGGCTTGAGTGCACACAGGAAGGACCAAGCTGTACACCAAGGCCAGCTTTTACCAGCACCAAGCCTGGGGGCAGGTTAGCAAAAGTCCCCAGACATCTGCCTTTGCTTACCTTCACCTGCCAGCTACCTGTTAGCTTCAGTCACTGAAAGAGCCTCTGACAGAGAGTCAGGATGATGGGACTAGTGGATCTCCTGTGATGGGGAAGTGCCATTCAGGCTTCAGGGAAGATGGTGATGTGGTCTCTTCCCTAGAGGCACATAACTCAGTCTGTCCCAGATTTTGCCCCATCTTGGCAGGGCAGAGCCAGGTGGGTGGGGTCTCTGGAGCCCAGAGGTGGCTCCTGTGAAGGGTATCAGTCAGGTTCATGGGAAAAGTGTGTGTGTGTGTGTGTGTGTGTGTGTGTAGGGGGGGGCGATGGGCCCTATACCAAAGCCACACTACTCAGTCACTGACACCCCTTGAGTCCACCCAAACCTCTACCCACTGGCGAAGGCAGCTGACTCTTCTGCAGGGTCTGAGCTTCCCAGGTTCAGGTGAGAGGGATTCCAGAGGATGGAGCTATTGCTTTCCTTTGGCTGATGCCACACAGAAGGGAGTGCTCCATCCAAGAAAGATGGTGTCTGTGGTATGGGAGAGTTGACTCAGCACAGGATTGTGGCGACTGTCGCCCAAGCTCCTTCCCCAGAGCCACAAATCCAGACTCTCTCCTCAGGCAACTCTAGTCCACTCCACCCTCCCTCTGCTGGAGCCCAGGGTGCATGACTGAAAAAAATCTGGAGGGGGTTGTCCCTTTAAGAGTGTGCCCGTCTCTCCAGTGGATTCAGTCTTTCACCGATGGACAGAAACCCTGCTGCTTTTTACAGCCAGATGTTACCTGGGCATCTCTTTCTGGATGTGGTGCTCTGGATTGTGGAGCCTGGCATGGGGTTGAGACCCCTCACTTCTCAGGGAGAACCCCCCCACAGCTGACATTTCCCTCCAGAACCTCAGCTGCTGTACTTGGGAGTAGGGCCAGCCCTTTCACATCTCTGCCCTTCCTACCAGACTCAATGTGGCTACTTCTGTAAATCTTGAGTTATAAGACTTCTCTTCAGCTAGTCTGGTGGTTATTCAGGATGACTGCTCAATTTAGTTGTAATTCCAGTTTGGTCCTGGGAGGAGGTGAGTATACCTTCCACTTACTCTACTACCATCTTGAAATCTTTAATTCTATTTCTCCACTATGTATTAATAAATCTATTTCTCCCTTAGATATTAACATAATTAGATATTAGAATCCCTTCTTCAATTATTTAACAAAGCCTTGGCTTATCCAGATGTATTGCCCCACTAGGCTTACACATTAAGAATGCCAAAGGTCATCTAATCCATGTCATAGCCATAACATTTGAGAAAAGTAGAGGAAATTGTATCATTATTTCAAAGATGCTTTAGAAAGGAAAAGGACTCAGCATTTAATCTTACATACTTCAACAAAATGCAAGTCCCTTGTTTCATGCCCTATGTTTCACTGGTAGCATTTTTGAGCATAGTAAATGGTCTGCTAGCTACAGTGTATCACAGTAAACCAAATACAACTTGTGTCACAGGCTGTATTCATGTTAAAATATATGCACCAAGCCCTAGTTCATATGGATATGCAGGAAGCACATACACACTCTTTATATTTATTTAAAATGAGGGGAAGAACCTTTGTGCTATGAGTGTTCTCTGAGACAAATTCTTTTTTCTTAAATTGATTTCAGAGAAAGAGGGAGAGAGAGAAACATCAATGTGTTATTCCACTTATTTATGCATTTTCATTCATTGGTTGATTCTTGTATGTCTCTGACGGGGGAATGAACAGCAACCTTGGTGTACTGAGACGACGCTCTAACCAAATGAGCTACCTGACCAGAGCTTCTGAGAATTCTTAGCCACACATACTTCTTTGAATGAAACATCAACAGAGAATTTTCAAATACTAGTAAGGATTCTTAATTAGTGATTAAATAATAACATCCAAAAGTCAAATTAGAGGTGTTTTAGATACTTTGACATAAATTCCTTAGCTAGATTTACTTGGTTATTCTAATATACCATAATTATATAAACACAATAAAATTATATGAGTAATAGTTAAAAATTATAAAACTTTATTGCCATTGAGAACCATACTTTCTTGCTGCATTATGCCCAGGTTGTTAGTTTTCACATATACTCTCTGTCCTGCTTTCCTCATGGTGCAGTATGTACTATGGAAGTCATATTAAAAAACAAGCCAACCCAGGTCAGGTGGCTTATTTGTTGGAATGTTGTCCCAAGTACTAAAAGGTTGTGGGTGTGATTCTCAGTCAGGGCACATACTTAGGTTGCAGGATTGATCCCTGGTTGTGGCACATATGAGAGGCAGCTGATCAATGTATCTCTCTCACATCAATGTGTGTCTCTCTCTCTCTCCCACTTCCTCTCTCTCTAAAAAAAGAAATCAATGAAAACACATTCCTGGGCCCTGGCTGGTTTGACTGAGTTGGAGCATCATCCTGTGCACCAGAAGGTCATGGGTTTGATTCCCAGTCAGGGTACATACCTAAGTTGTGGGTTTGATCCCTGGTAGGAACGTGTATGGGAGGCAACCTCTCTCTCTCTCTCTCATGTTGGTATTTCTTTCTCTCTCTCCTTTCCTCCCTCTCCAAAATCAATAATGAAAAAATATATATTCTTGGGTGAGAATTAAAAAAAAAAGCCAAAGCCAAAAAAAACCAAAAAACGTCATTAAACACAATTAACATAGTTTATTATAAAAGTGTGCTTTATTATAAGGAAAATTTAAATATAACCAACAATACTGAAAATAATGTAACTGGCATTTACAGCCTCAGAGTTCATTAAACAGGCATTTTTTTTTTTTTTTTTTTTTTTTGCTATTCCATGAATAGTTAGCAATGAGCTTATGCAACAAAATAGGTAACCTGAAAAAGTGAATCAAGAATACAGAATGATGAACCAGAAATCGGGGGTTCTGTGTGCTTTTTATTAACATGGCTTTTAAAATCAAATCAAACAGAAAACAAGTCATCTTATCCAAAGTGTTGAGTTCAGTTCAGGGCAGCTTCCTTGTTCTGTTAAACTTTGGGACATTGAAACACAGGTTAGGGGAGATGATTGGATAGAAAGCATTACTCTATTCACTTAGCTCCTGGCCTATAACAACAAACAAACAAACAAACAAACAAGAGTGAAAAAGAAAACAAGTTATCTTCATTTGTAAGCTCTCTTCCTACAAGAAAGTTTACAAAATTGTTAAACAGTGTTATAAAATGTGGCTGAAGTTATGCTTTACATACTTTAATTTCTTATATATACCTTATCTGGTTAACATTTTTAAACCACATTTTCATTATACAAGTAAGACCATAAACATTCTCTAATAAAACCACACTAGCCACAGAATAATTTTACCTTTATATATATTTCTCTAAAACATGTTTCCCAAAATGGAACTGCTTATTTAAAAGTGAACTGGTTAGAATTAATCTCTCTGGACACTAGGATCATGTAGGCTAGAAATCTAAGGCTATATTGCTTTGGTTGAATATGCAGCCAAAAATAAGTATATCAGTTATCAATGAAAATCTGTTCTGGTTGAGTTCATTCTGCATTTTTGGCTATGAATCTACAATAAAACAAATGGCAAGGCCTAATGGTACATTTGGAATGGGCAGAAATTCCTTTTATTTTTGCATATGATTTTGTTTATAAAATTTATTTCTACCACCTTGGAGGAATACCATGGGAGCAGATATCTGAAAGAATTCTACTATGGATACTAAACGAAGAACAAAAATATCCTGTGGGCATGTTAACCCCAAATTATTTTTGATACAGGATATTTTTTTGTGGTATATATAGGATCTTAGACTTCTAGAAGACAACAAGTACATTTAAATAGTTTTTAAAAAAAACTTTGTGACATTAAATGTCAAACTCAAAATTTTAAAAATAAAAAAATACAGAGAATTGCAAATGAAAAAGGAAGCAAAGATATATGCTTTATGAGGAAAAGTGTTAAAGATCTCCCATCTAAAAAAGACTGTTCCCTATTACAATGACTAAATTACCTGTTCTTAAAACCACTGGTTACTGACATTATGCCAAAGAAGTCAAAATGTATTTTATTGCAAAAATATAAAAGGTTTTAAAATTGCATATGATGTTTCATACTATTTCACCAATAGGCCAAGGCCAGCATATAACTTACCGAGCCAGAAAAACTTTAAAAGGAAAATAATTAAAATTGTAATTACTATATATATGAGTTGTAAAAAGAATGTGATGCCATGCTATATAGCATGACTCATTGCCAAGTTCCCTTTTACATGGGCATGGTCAGTGATGTATCATTCTGTGTAAGTTAAAACAAACACAAATTGCCTATGATAACACCCTTTAATTATCTTCTTAAATACAGATAGTTCCAGTATATTACAATTATTCGAATAAACCTTTTAGTCAATTTTGTGGAGTAGAAAATCATTTTATCAGTATGTCGACATTTTTTGATATATTCTTTAGAAAGTGATGTTAAAGCTTACTGCCTATTAAATCACTACTCTGTTTAATGATACATTGTAAATGTAAAAAAAGGAAGAAAACTGGAAATCACAGAAAATGCTTGGCATCTACACAAACACTCTCAGTGGACTAACCACTACTGTGTAATTTTGTCATTATAAAACTTCTCGTTCCATACTTTTGCTTCATGCAGTGGGTTCAACAATATCCATGTTTGTTCCAAACAGGGCAACTAACTGTTCTTCATAGGTGGTGATGTTCCTTTTCATAATTTCCATGCAAGGTCCCAAAAGCCTTTCAAATGCTTGCACATCCATGGCTAAGACAAGGGGAGAAAAAAAAAGATTAACACTCTTTCATAATTTGCAGAATTTCTGAATCACTTATGGCATTCTGCATTATGTCAATAATACAATGGTATTATTAGATAAATATAAAAGAAAAAGGCATAAAGATAAAAACGTTCCACTTCAAAAGGAAGCAGTCAGTCCCTTGGCAATATGATGTGCAATGCAAGGTTGGTGGGAGGTTCCTGATCCAGGTTAAGAAAAGAAGGAGGGACTGTCAAGGACAAGGCCTTGAAATTTAAAAAAATTAGTTATGATGTCATCACTTGCATACAAATAGACTCCTTAAAGAAGGCAAGGGAGCCCTGACTGGTTTGGATCAGCGGTTGAGCATCAGCCTGAGGACCAATGAGTTGTGGGTGGGTTTGATTCTGGCCAAGGGCATGGACCTCAGTTGCGGTACGTCCCCAGCCCTGGTCGAGGTCATATGAGAGGCAACCAGTCAATGTGTCCCTCTCACATTGATGTTTCTTTTTTTCCCACTCTTTCTGAAGATAAATGGAAAAATATCCTCAGGTGAGGATTAAAAAAAAAAAAGAAGGCAAGGGAGTGTTTTCTGTTTTCCCTTAGGGTGTAAAATGCCATGTTTTGAAGACCAAATGTTACCTTTTATACTTTTTATTTATTGATTTTAATAATTTTCTAAAACATCGATATGAGAGAGAAACATCCACTGGCTGCCTCCTGCATGCCCCTACTGGGGATCGAGCCCACAACCCAGGCATGTGGCCTGACCAGGAATGGAACTGGGATCTCTCAGTCCATGGGACAATGTTCAATCAACTGAGCCACACCAGCCAGGCAGCTTTTATAATTTTTACTCTCATACTACTGTCTAGTCCAGGGGTGGGGAATGTCTAGTCCGCAGACCGTATCAGGCCCACAAAATTAATACCAGTTAACATCACACGCCTCACCAAAGAGAAGCAGTTCCACTCATCACATTAGGGGTGAGATGATTAAATGTTTAACCAAATATAGCAGGCCAATTGTTAAGTTGATAATTTTGTATGGTCCGCAAATGATGTTATAAATATCCAGATTGCCCTTGGCAGAGAAAAAGTTCTCCACCCCGGCTAGTCACTTAAAGATGGCAACCAAAATAATGCTTTTGTCCACTTCTATAACTATGTTATATATCACTTTGCTTGCCTATCTTAACGCATTTCTAAAAACTAAAATTATAATACATGCATGGAAAATATGATCACGTAAGTCTCTACAAGTTCAAGAAGATTGAAATCATATCAAGCATCTTCTCAGATCACAATGGCATGAAACTAGAAATCAACTGCAACAAGAACATGCGAAGACATTTGAACACATGGAAGCTAAATAGCATGTTATTAAACCATGAATGGGTTATCAAGGAGATCAAGGAAGAAATGAAAAACTTCCTGGAAACCAATGAAAATGAACACACAAGAACACAAAATCTATGAGATGGAGCAAAAGCAGTTCTGAGAGGGAAGTTCATAGCAATACAGGCCTACCTCAAGAAACAAGATAAATTTCTAATAAACTAGCTAACCTCACAAATTAAAGAACTAAAAACCAAACAAAAAGAAAACCCCAGAGCAAGTAAAAGGAAATAAACAGTAAAGATCAGAGCAGAAATAAATGACATAGAGACCAAAAAAACAACTCAAAGGATCAATGAAACAAAGAGCTGGTTTTTGGAAAAGATAAACAAGATTGATGGACCCCTAGCTAGACTTACCAAGAAACAAAGAGAGAGAACCCAAATACACAAAATCAGAAATGAAAGAAGAGAAGTAACAACTGACACCACAGAAATACAAAGGATCATTAACAAACACTATGAACAATTATACGGTAACAAATTTGACAATCTAAGCAAAATGGATGAATTTCGAAAAACACATAGTCTTCCAAAACAGGACCAGGAAGAGATAGAAAACTTGAACAGACCAATAGAAACTAAGAAAATTGAAGAGGTAATCAAGACTCTCCCAGCAAACAAAAGCCCATTCTCCTCAAACTATTTCAAAAAATTCAAGAAGGAAGACTTCCAAACTCGTTTTACGAGACCAGCATAATTCTAATTCCAAAACCAGAAAAAGACACTATGAAGAAAACTACAGGCCAATATCCCTGATGAACATAGATGCCAAAATCCTGAACAAAATACTAGCAAATCGGATCCAGCAATACATCAAAAAAATTATTCACCATGACCAAGTGAAATCTATCCCAAAGATGCAAAGCTGGTACAATATTCGCAAATCAATATATTTGATACACCACATAAACAAAATAAAAGATAAAAACCACATGATCATATCAATAGATGCTGAAAAAGCCTTTCACAAAATCCAGCTCCCATTTCTGATAAAAACACTCAGCAACGTGGGAATAGAGGGATCATATCTCGACATAATAAAGGCCATATATGAAAGACCTACAGCCAACATCATACTCAGTGGGCAAAAACTAAAAGCATTTCCCTTAAGAATAGGAACAAGACAGGGATGCCCACTTTTGCCACTCTTATTTAACATAGCACTGGAAGTCTTAGCCACAGCAATCAGACAGGAAGAAAAAATAAAAGGGATCCAAATTGGAAAGGAGGAAGTGAAACTGTCATTATTTTAGATGACATGATATTGTACATAGAAACCTTAAAGACTCCATCAAAAATCTACTAGACTTAATAAATGAGTTTGGCAAAGCAGCAGGATACAAAATTAACGTCAAGAAATTGAAGGCATTCTTATACACCAATGATGAACTCACAGAAAGAGAAACTAACAAAAATCCCATTTACCACTGCGGCAAAAAAAAATTAAGAAGATACCTAGGAATGAACTTAACCAAAGAAGTAAAGGACCTATTTGCAGAAAACTACAGGACATTGAAAAAAGAAATAGAGGGAGATATAAAAAAGTGGAAGCACATACCTTGTTTATGGATTGGAAGAATTAACATCATTAAAATGTCCATATTACCCAAAGTAATCTATAGATTCAAAGCAATCCCCATCAAAATACCAATGACATATTTCACAGAACTAGAACAAATACTTCAAAAGTTCATATGGAACCAAAAAGACCCCAAATAGCCAAAGTAATCTTGAAAAAGAAGGACAAAGTAGGTGGGATCACAATACCGGATATCAGGTTATACTACAAAGCGACTATAATCAAAACAGCCTGGTACTGGCACAAGAACAGGCATATAGACCAGTGGAACAGAACAGATCATCCAGAAATGGACCCAAGACATTATGCTGAATTAATATTAGACAAAGGTGGCAAGAGCATACAATGGAGTAAAGACAGCCTCTTTAATAAATGGTGTTGGGAAAATTGGACAGCCATGTGCAAAAAAATGAAACTAGACCACCAACTTACACCATACACAAGAATAAACTCAAAATGGATAAAAGACTTAAATGTAACTCATGAATCCATAAAAGTCGTAGAAGAAAATGCAGGCAACAAAATTTTGGACATGTTACGCAGCAGAATTTTCACTGATACATCACCTAAGGCAACAAAAAACAAAGGAAAAAATGAACACATGGGACAACATAAAACTAAAAAGCTTCTGTACAGCAAAAGAAACGACCATCAAAATAGAAAGGGAACCCACTGCATGGGAGAGAAAAATTGCCAATGATATATCAGATAAAGGGTTGATTTCCAAAATATATAGAGTACTCATACAATTCAACAAAAGGAAGACAAAGAACCCAATTAAAAAATGGGCAGAGGCCCTGGCTGGTTTGGCTCAGCGGTTAGAGCGTCGGCCTGCGGTCCTGAGAGACCCGGGTTCGGTTCCCGCTAAGGGCACGTACCTCGGTTGCAGTTTGTCCCCGGCCCTGGTCGGTTGTGCGGGTGGCAGCCACTCGATGTGTCCCTTTCACATCGATGTTTCTCTCTCTCTCTCTCTGTTCCTCTCTCTCCCCCCCACTCTACCTGAACAAAAAATGGAAAAATGTCCTCGGGTGAGGATAAAAAAAAAAAAAAGAAAAAATGGGCAGAGGAGCTAAATAGACACCTCTCCAAACAGGACATACAAATGACAAAGAGACATATGAAAAAATGCTCAACATCACTAATCATCAGAGAGATGCAAATTAAAACAACAATGAGGTGTCACCTCACATTTGTCAGAATGGCCGCCATCAATAAATCTTCAAACAACAAGTGTTGGCAAGGGTGTGGAGAAAAGGGGGGTCTAGTACATTGCTGGTAGGAATGCAGAGTGGTACAGCCACTATGAAAAACACTATGGTGTTACCTCAAAAAATTAAAAATTGAATTGCTATTTGACCCAGCGATCCCACTTCTAGGAATATACCCTAAGAAGTCTGAAACACCAATCAGAAAGAATATATGTACCCCCATGTTCATAGCACACTATTTACAGTAGCTAAGATCTGGAAACACCCCAAGTGTCCATCAGTAGGCAAATGGATAAAAAAAGCTGTGGTACATATACACAATGGAGTACTATGTAGCTGTAAGAAAGAAAGATATTTTATCCTTTGAGACCACATGGAGGAACCTGGAAAGTATTATGCTAAGTGAAACAAACCAAGCAGAGAAAGAGAAATATCATATGATCTCACTTATTTGTGGAATATAATGAACATAATAGTCTGAGGAACAGGGTAGATCCAGAGATGTGAAAGTAGGGTACAGAATGACAACCCTCAGAATAGAGGTTGATGGGGGAGGGAATAGATAAACCACAGAACTCAGATGCATGTACGCATAACTGATAGAGATGGACAACAAAGCTGGGGATGGGGTTGGGGGGATGGGAAGGAGGGTATCAATGGGGAAAAAAAGGAGAAACATTTGTAACAAAAATAAATTAATAATAAAGTATAATAATTAAAAAATATATGATCACAGTCTCTACAACAGAACTGTAAATTAAAATACATTTTTTGCCTTTCAAAAAGGTAAAAAGGCAATGTTCTCAAAAATAGAGTGAATGG